GGACAGGCGGGCGCAGGGATGGGCCGGCATGCCGCAGTCCCTGGCACGCCACCCTGCAGTGGCCTGTCCCTGCTGTGTGGGGAGGGTCGGCGCAGGGGTGGATGAGGAACTTACAGATGCTGGCTGAGGATGATGACCTGAATAATGACAGTCCAGTTTTTCAACAGACTCTTCTTTGTCATCGCCTTCTCCCTCCTCACTGGATAACCGAGAAGCTGGCTCAGTGGCAGGCAGGGGAGGGTGTGGAGATTCATGGACTGGAGGAGGGTCAATGGGGGCACTCCCACCTTGCTGAGCAGGGCAGCCTGGAGGCCTTCGGTGAGTAGAAAGGGCAGCACCAATCAGATCACATCACATGTCTGGGAATCAGCTGCCTTAAGTCAGATAGAACAATGTATCCAAAACCACCAGGGGAGGGCGGGGCTCCACCCCCAGCGCTGGGGAGACAGACACTGATCCAGGGCCTGGGAGTGAAGGACCCTCTCTCCCCAGTGCACGATGTCAAATGGGGCTGTCTGCCAGCTCTAACCACAGCCAACTTGTGACTACTGCTTTTCAGAGCCACCTGGTCCTCCTCCTAGTCTCCCCAAAGAAGGTGACATATACGTGGAATTTAAGAGAATTCTTTCTTCGATTCCTCTGCTAATTTCACCTGGAGTTGGATTACTAAGGCAACAGGTGAGGTGATCGGTAACGTTCTCTAAAACTACCCAAGAGAGGCAGGCAGTGATAAAACAAGGCAGCTTTCCAACTGAACGTGGAACGCCCAGAGCCTGTTACTTAAGGACAGTCGTGTGCTTTCCCAACAGATACAAAGACCTGGTGTTTCTAGAACTGAGCTTACTTTTCTATGGCCGGAGAAACTTTCATGAAAAGACAGCTAAAGAAAGGGGACTTGCTAAAGAATCGAGGGCCTGGGCTAGACACAATCTGGCGCCTCCTCTGATCGCTCCTCCACGCACTGCTCAGAACTCAGGGGGCTCGTGCTGGGAGAGGCTCAGGCACACACTCCGTTTCCATGAGGGAGGCCCTTCTACCCTTCATGAGATCATTTCAAAGATCAGACATGTGAGGGTAAAAGGTTAATTAAGTCACAGCAACCAAGGGCTGGCACATTCCTCAGCAGAAGCCCTCGCTGCCCAAGATCCTCATTCTCTATGCCTTTCTCTTTCCCTTCTCTCTGGAAAGTGGGTACAAAGCCCCTTCCTTCAACTTAGTTAAACATACAAGCACATACATACATATATATTCTGCCCACCATCACTGTCTCCAAGGGGGTGTGTCTAAGTTCTTGGTAAAACACTCTGATCCACTGCTGACTACACAGCTAAAATGCCTAACACAGGCTTAGGCCACAGTCCTGAATGAATGAATGGAAAAACATGTTGACAAATGGATGCTGTAAAAACTCAGGCTGGATGCCTTTCCTCAGGAAGAACCCCCAACTGCTGTATCTTGCAAGAAGCGAGACAAATGGATGGGAAATTGCTGCCAGAGCCACGTGTAATGTTCCCGTTTCTAACCTGCAGGCAGGACCCGAGCTTCAGCCCTGCTCACCGGGATGTCCTGCTCAGCAGCACGTTGAGCGGGGGTGGAACGGGTAATTCTACCTCACTCTGCTGCTTGCATGTGGCCATGAGGAGCCCCGGTTACAACTTACTGATGAGCAAATTTTCCTTTTTTTCCTTAAAATAAAACCCAATTAGAAAAATATCTTCTCTTCCCAAAGCAAGCCTGATAGAGGTCCCTGACATCCTAATATTCTGGGATGTTGCAACGTCTGCATGCCTGCTCTCCGAAGGAGGGAGACAGAGCTGGAGGACTTGGCTTACCTTGGAAGACTGGGGGTGTGAGGTTTAGGTTTACTGGCTACGAAAGGCTTCGATTCAGAAGGAATCACTCCGTGAGAGTTTGGGTGTGGCTCCTGCGAAGTCCTAGGAGGGGCGGGATGCGGGTCCCTGAGAAGCTGTGTTGGTTGCTGAGAGTCCAGATGGCGAATCGATTCCTTTTCCCTGGTTTTGTTTTTGTGCTCGGCTAATAACACATCAAATCGTTTTCTTCTACCCTGGACAGCCCTCCGCTGGGTTAAGGAATGTGTCTACAGACCAAAACAGCAACCAGAAATGGAGGAATCTCAGTAACAGGTTTTCCTGTCATTCATCAAAAAACACCAATGCCAGTAAAACAGCAATCTGGACCATTAGCATAATCACAGGCTGTGTAGCATTTGATAAGTTAAAAATTCTTATGATCTTTTTTTTTTCCTTAGCTAGAAGCATATATTCCAGGCCCCAAAAGTGTAAGCTGGTGGTGCAATTTCCACCAGAAGGAAGAAGTGTCAACCGTGCCCTCCAGTGTGTAACTGAGGGGCAAGCAGGTGACGTGAACAGTCGACAGGCCCCCAGGTTTCGTGCCGCAGGAAGAATCCATTGATGGGGGCTCTTACCAGCTCCACTAGGAACATCCCTTCCTGGGCCGTTTAGAGCTCTGAACGTTAAAAGGGAAGAAGCACTTACTCCATAAACTATGTATCAGAAAGTCTTCCTTCAGTAACCCCTAGAGAGTAAAACTTAGACACAATTGTTTCTCTTTATTCCAGTGAAAATGCCGTATGTAGGGGGAAAGCCGAGCAACTCATCCTGAAGTTAGGGGCCGAGGAGGGGGAATCACACAGCACGAGGCCTAAAGACGACAGGCTGACCACAGGAAGGGGCGCAAACGGAGTGAGTCCCTATAAACAGACCCTCACTGTGGGACTCAAGTAAATGGGGCAGACGGTATTTTAGGATCTTGTCTAATTTCAATTAAATACCGGTGACATTCCTGAGAAATTCGAAATTACTCGAGAAAAAGGTCAAATTTTACGGCAGTGCTTTTCTTAAAAGGGTAGCTAATATAAACCTAACATGGCTGACACACATCTTATAAGAAGTCGATGCTCCAAATGCATTCGATAAGTGCTGCTTGTTTGTTTGTTTTTCCTAAAGGCTCATTTAGGGCCAAGACCGTTCCTAGCAGAACCTATCAAGTCAAATAAGCTGACCGTTCCGTACTGCCAGGGCCTCAGTCGAGAAAAAGTGCAAGGAGATGCAAACTACAGTGGCCCCAAATCACACCTCCCAAATAGGAGTGAATTCACCTCCGCAATCCCTCCTCTCTTTCAGGTGGCAGTACCACTACAAGCGGTACCTTCTGTGTGCTCACGGCCCTGCACAGTGTACAAAGGGACTGCCCTGCACGTTTACGCTTGCTACAAGCTGAGGGATTTAAGAGGAGACAGGCTTCTCACGCCCTTTTGAAATTCAGTGTCACAACCCACATCCCTGACAGACACACTGCAAGCTATGCCCACCCAAAATCTAACCTGGCATGGACAGAAAAATGTGTTTAGCTTCTCTTTAAATTTTTACCTGCTTTTCTTTAATATGTAATATATAAGCAAGAAGGAAATCTAAGTGAAGACAAGGAACTTGGCTTTGTTCAGTGCTGTTTGTTCAGTGGTGTTGGAACATGACGCTCCCAACAAAAAGTATATGAAAGTAACGGCTCTCCAATGTTTGCTGAATGAGCAAACAAATACACAACATCAAAGGTCCACCTGCCTGTCTCTCCAGACAGACGACACAGACACCTCTCCCCATCTCTGAATGCCCCCTGGTCCTTAGCACAGCAAGACCAACAGAAGAAAGTAGGTAGAGACAATCAGTATTTTCCAAGCTTGGTTTGAGAGTTAACAGGATTTCCACTGAGCGCTGGAGAAACCTCCAAACACAAATGTGATGCCCCTACCCGCCATCAGAATTCCGTGGGGGCTGCCAAACCACCCAGGATAAAGACTGGCTGCAAGCAGGCTCCCTGCTCCCCGCTCCTCTGGCATCAACTGCCCCCTCCTTCCTTTCAGACCCTGGGCTGTCTGATCTGCCCCGTCACAGAGCCTTCACACAGGACGTTTTCTCTCCCGTTCCCACCCTTCTCTGCCCGGGTAAATCACATGGATTTCAGCCCAGTATTCCTGCGGCAAAGGAGCCTTCCCTGACCCAGTTCCCCTCATGAAACCTGTCATTACATGGCCATTTTATTACCCATCAGTGGTAACTTTTACACTTATCTGAGTCATCACCAAATTCATCTCCATCTGCTTCATCAGACTGTCAGCACCCAGAGGGTAGGAGACATGCCTTGACTTTGTTCAAGCCTGGATCCTCTGAGGCCCAGAAGGAGGCTCACACCCACAGACGTGGGCATAAATGTGTCCACAATGACTGAACAGACAAGGCTACCTGAGCCCAAATCTATCTGCACGGAAGACACAGGGGACACGGAACAGAGCACGGGATGGATGAGGGAGCGAAGCAGCGACAATGAGGGCAGCAGGCAGCTGAAAGGGAACCAGCGACAGGTGGGCAGCAGCAGATGCCCTGACAGTGAAGAGGACGGACAACGTCCCGAGTCTAAGGCAGGAGAGAGCTGGGCAGCAGCGTGGGGGGACACTCGGCTGGACACAAGTATGTTTAGCCCCACAGCTTAACAGATTCAGGCCACAGTGGAGGCAGGGAGGGGGGAAGCAGTGACAAACGGGACACAGGAAGGAAGTCAGGGCATGCCGTGCCAGGGCAGGCCAGCCGTGACGCTGCACTCCCGCCAGCGCCATGCTCAGCTCATGACGTGCCTGGGTGAAGACACAGATGATTGCGAAGACAGGCTCTGCACCCTGCTCCAGACGGTAATGACACCCTCAACGGCCACGCGGAGAGCGTACATGACTTGGAAAGGAAGATGGGAGAAAGATGCAGGATCCACATTAAAGCCAGCGAAGGTTTGGGAAAGAGGCTGGTCAGACTCCCTGCAGATTCTGAGTTGATAAAGCTCCTGCCTCACCTGCACGCCTCACAGACGACTGAAAAGACTTGTGGGTCAAGCAAGCATCCTTCACTGACCACAGGTATTGTAATACTGGGACATTTGTGTTGCTGAGAGCCAGGGAGGCAGGAAGAGAGCACAGAGAGGTTGGCAGTGGGACCACGACACGGAGCACGTGTTCCCAAGTTCCCTCAGGGGCAGCTCAACGGGACAGAATTCTACGGAGCTCAAACAGCTACCGTCACACAACACGACCTCACTACGTGTCCAATGAATGTTACATAAAGCAAAGCAATTCGCCCCGTGGAGTTTTTAACCTAGAGATTCAAGAGTGGACTTGGGTGAGGATAACCATCAACCTCTGAAGAAAAAAAAAAGCCACGTTCAGAATACGCATGGATAAATACGCTTTCCGCTGGGAGGAGCCATAATTTTTTAAAAATTAGATATTTAAAGGTGCTCCTGACCAACCTATTTCATCCAAAGATTCAGAACCACTGTTGCAAGACTAATCCACACACTAAAATTAAACTAGAAATTTAAATTAAAGTAAGAACTACTCAGAAATATTTCCTATTTTTGAAGATTTTTAACATTCCTCCCCTGTTTACGGGGAGGAGTGGGGCCTGACATTCTTTATTCAAACATAATCTTTGGTAAAATTTCAAATAATACACTAAAATTTTTGTGAGTTTCTGGAGGACAGCATTAATTTTTACCTCCTCCTCCAAGCAAAAGGCCTTTTGGGGGGGGGTGCTGATGAAGGTTTATTAATTTATTTATTTTGACAAAGGTACTGGAGATTGAACCCAGGACCTCATGCATGCCACGCATGTGCTCTACCGCTGAGCTAGACCCTCCCCTCAAGGAAGGGTTTTTAAATTACCTCAAAGCAATGACCCTTAACACTTTTTGAACTCTTCTGAAGGCTGCTGGGGGGCATAAGCATATATGCTCATTTAAGTAGGGGGTCTACTGAAGCCACCCCCATATCCACCTTTATTTTATAACAAATCTCCCACTTTCTCTCTAATATTCAAGAATTTCAAAGGAAGACTCAGGACAGAAAGGGAACCATCACGTTTTCTTACGTCATACATATATTAGATTGCTTGTTACCTGGTATTTTTTTTTAACTAAAAAAGCCTTCTCAAAGTCACAGGTTTTTCTAAGTAGCTCCAAGTTTAAGAAGCACAGAGTACCCCAAACATTTAAAGAATATTCATGTGCATGTAAAGATTTCTGGACTTGTTTCAAGGCAGCACAATTTAAACCACAGTAAAGGGGAGAAAGTTACATATTAAGTTTCTTCAAAGAAATGTTACAGGTCTTGGAAAGTAACAGACTGACCAGGATAGAACACTATTCCCCTGGCTGTAACAGTGAGACCCCCTGGGAGTGAGGGAGACTTGGGGAGCAGTGCTCTGCACCCCACATCCCCCTGCTTCGCAGAGCACCCCGCCTGGCCCAGGAGCCCCTACCTTGCACGTCAAAGACCGGGTGCAGGGCTTCTTGGTGTCGAGGTCGATGACCCCGCAGTGTATGTCAGGATCAAACTCTCTTTCTGTCAAAAGCACACAGACGTTACAACGGGTTCACCAAACAGTCCACTTACTTCGAAAATAAGAAAATAGGAGAAGTCTGAGATTCTCCTATTTCAGACAAATTATAACTTGAATCAAATCTACGGCATGATCAATAAATATAAAATACGATACGTAACGTGTGAGCGTGGCAAAGGAGCTGTGACGGCACTGAGAGTGGGACTGCAGCCACAGATGACAGGGAAGAGACTGTTTAAGTCAGCGTTACTCATCGCTCCATTCAGGAGGACACCAATGCAAAGCTGTTTTTACATCTCACACGCACGCACACACACGCATGCACTCACGCACTTTAAAACCAAGAACGAAGAGGTCAAAAGCATTACTCAGGGAACTTCCTCCTAAAGCTGAAGTGGGTCAGTTTTAAAAGGAGGACTTAAAGGTACCAGTTCATCTGCTCCCCTGGGAAGGCCCACTTAACACAGACAGACAATACTGAGGGAGGAGCTATGCAGTTACCTGATAATCTCTTATTTAAAAATTTCCTGTTATTGGAATTATCTTCAGACTTCTTTTCCAGAGTGGGAGGTGCAGGGAGCCCTTTGCCGTTCAGAACCTGCCCAGGTGAAGGCAAGGGCGGCTTTGGTATGGAGGGGCAGTTAAGGCCAGGCTTGACTGAGGAGCTCACAGTAGCAGGACAGGCGGGCCCCACCGCAGGTTTCAGTAGTGTGCCGTCCATCTTCGGAAGGATCTTTTCCACTTTGACGGAGGGCGTCATGCTGTCGTAGGGGGAAGTGAGAACACCAGACCTGAGTGCCCCGGCAGCCGCAGCTGAGTGGTGAGCCAGAGGGACGAGGGCAGAGCCTGGGCCTACCCGTGCACACTGCTCAGAGCTGGCTCCCAAAGGTACCTCAGGAACATGTGTTAGAACTATGCAGAAAGCTCAGTGAGGCTCACTTTTGCTCAGTCTATCAACCCTTCTGGAGAAGCAAAAAGCTCCAGTGGAACCAGGAAATTTACCTGGTCTTCCATCGTTCCAGAAAAATCTTACACATGAACCTACAGGACATCTAAGCCTGCTGCCCAGTGCCAATTCCTGCAAGAAGCAAAATTACTACTACTGCAGGACCTTCAGAGGGTATCTTTTGAGAACTGTTATTTTTAAGAATGGCTCCATCAAAATAAACTGAACGAGCAGAGAAAAGAACAACTGCAAGTAGAGAACATTTCCGAGGAGGGTCACTACGAACTTAGGAGAACTCAAACTGCCGAAGGCCGTGCCTTCGAGAAGAGGCTCTCCACCTCTGTCTGGGAGGAAGAGCAATGCTTCATTAGCATATGATGCGTCAGCGAAGGGATCACTCTCCACTCCCTGAAAAAGGCTCCTCGGATAGGAGCTTGCAAGCGAAGTGCCTGGCACTCAGCTGGTGAGCCCTGAATATCCGGCATTGTTAACCAAGAACTGATTTTTCTTGGAATCTTACTGACACTATCATTTGGGTGGCAAATGTCGGTCTGAAGCTAACAGCTGGCCTGGCCCCCATCTGAAGCCCAGCTCCAAGTACAGAGGATCGGGACTGACGCGGTCTTACGAACTCTGGCCAGTGGGGTCAGTGCTCTAACAGCTGCTAAGCTGGCGAGTGACCTGCACACTCTACTGGCACTTTCCCTGGCTCTCGGACAGCTCCGGGAGCGAAAGCCAAGCTCGCTGTACTTGCACTTCTGACAGACAAGCGGGGGGGGGGGCTTAGCAACCAGGACAAACAGCACCAAACAGCTGTACCTGGGACAGCCCGGCAGTGGCAGAGACACTGCAAGACGCCATGGCCGCTCCCAGCTGGCAAGGTCGGGGAGCAGGAGCAGATGCCAGCCGCGGCCCTGAGATCAACCAGGTTATCAGACCTTGGGACTGGGACGTGTGGCATAACCCTCTGACAGGGAGGCGGGCCAGGAAAAAGCCGCCCTCCACCAAGGCGGACGGATGCCGTGACGAGGCAAGATGTGTTTCTAGGGGAGGGCACGGCTGCTCCCTCATGTGACCACAGGAGCCTGCCAGCCAGCAGCTCTGCCGTGGAGACGCGCCAAGGCCTTGCCTGGCTGTGTGAACTTCTTCCAGTCTTCCCTCATCACTGCTTTGATGTGAACCCGAGACTCGGGGGAGAGGAAGCACTGCTTCCCTATTTGCTTTGCAGGCCCCAGAAAGTCCCAGAACAGCTTCTGGGGACCTCGTCACCTTTTTTCTATGCCTATCATTATCCGCAGCAGCAGAAGCACCAGCATCTAGTCGCTGACCGTCTCCTGTGGGCCACACACTATGCCAGGCGCCAGACTTGAGCACGTGACTTCCACTGCCCCCAGCCACCGTGCAGAGCGGCTGCTGTTCTTAGGCTCTGAGAGAAACGGGCCTTGTCCCAGGCCCCGCAGCCAGGAGGGAACAGGGGTGGGATCTGAACCCCGGCCTGCTGGACCCGAGGGCCCCTTGGCTAAAGTTCTTCCATCGTATTACACTCCCCTTTCCTCATGTGGACAATGGGGATACCAACACCACCTATGCCACAGGGTTGTCGCGACATGTAAGTAACAACACGCAGAGAGCACGAAGTTTCAAGAGCTGGCACACAAGAACGGATCCATACGTAAGTATTAACCTTATTATTATGGCTACTATGACTCTGTAAAGCCTCCCAACATGTAACAGGGAAACACAAAGAAGCAACCACATATATTTGCACTTTCCCCAAGGTGGGCTCTCTTTCACATTATTCACGGACACGCTCAGGTGCTACTTGTGGACAGGGTTCACTTCCGGCAGGTGAGCTGTAAGAACCCCTCGGCCATACTCACATTCTACCGTGGGGGACTCTGTTTTGCTGAATGGGGTGCATTGGCCTGTTCCCCCTGAGTTGCAGTTTCTCTTTGGGCGATTTCAACAACTTGGAACTGAACGACGACGTGCCTACAACACCTCCACTGGAAGGGCGGCTGCCTCCGCTCCCACTGCCCCCTTTGCTTCTGGACAGAGAAGGGAAGAAGGAAAACACTGACGTGGGAGGAACGGCCAAAGGCGGCTTGCTGGATGAGCTGTGTCTTCTTTCTGAAAAGGAAAACAAAAGAAAAAAAAAAGACACCACGTTTCAGGCAAGTCTCCAGCGGAACCCTGGAAGGGTCCCCTGAAATTAACACATTTAGTTCAAACATGTGTCACTAAGTGAAAATATATTTACACTCAGCAGCGTTCAGAAATGGCTTATCTAGGCCCTGCAGACTTATTCTGGATTCTAGGAACTGGTCCTTCTGCTTAAGAAACACCTCAGCGTAAAGAGGTTTATCACACACAGATAGCCATTAGGGAATTAAACAGCCACGCTAAACCTGGGAATACTGGGCTCTGCATTTCAGAAACGTGCCTCGCTGACTCCAACCTGCAGTCAAAGAGGGGAAAACTAGTCATTCATCTGCAGAGCTCAGCTAATTGACAATGCACGGAATTCCTTCTTCCTTTCTAGCACAGTACCTCTGCAGTTTTCAAAGCAGCAAAACGTGTAAGAATTTCTTCTTGTCACTACCCACTAGCATATGACACCACGTAAGAATGTTTCGAGGGTTACCTTATCATTCCTTAAGAATCTGTGATGAAATTTTCTTGTGCATCACTTCATCCCCACCCCCTTCTTAATATCTCATTTGACTACAGATGGCACAGCTCTGGGTCACACCACTACGATGCCAAAGGCACAAGACAAAAACACCACGAACAGCTACGCCTCTTTTATAAACCAGGAAGTAATTCACGGTTAGGTGCAGACTACACAGGTTTAACTGAAAGTAAGTCTATCCACTGGAGAACCAGGTTTTCTCAGAGTAAGGGAACCCATACTAAATAAATCGAGAACTACTGAAGAATGTTACTATAGGAAACAAGTAAATTATTTAGTAACTTTATCTGCTTAAGTACTTTATGCTGGTAGCTTAGTAGCTGCCTTCAGTTAAACTTGTAACTTAAAATGAACTGTCTGCTTAACTCTAAGTTTTTAAAATATCTGTGATCCAATGTTTACTTATTACAATATGGATGCTACTTGAGAATTTAAAAAACTGAGCATTTTAGAATCAATGACTATCACCCTCACGTAAAATGGTTTATTTCCAAAGGCCTTTTAATACCAGCCTCTCTGTGAAGCTGCAACGACTTGTTCCTGGAAGGACATTAGGTCTATTATGGCATCTACAGACAGAATTCAGAGTCTCCAGCTATCCCGCACAAAGGCCACAACCAAGGCAGGAAGGCTAAACTGAGAGTGATTTATAAGTGCCTGCTGCCTTCTCCCCCCAGATGTGAAAGTTGTGCGTAAGGAAGGGAAAGTCAAAATAACAAGTTTAATAATTTTCAAAATTTGGCACCTGAGGTTTTCTTTAAAAAAACATTAGTTTCTTTCTCTGCTGTGATCCTAAAACACTCTGAATATCCTTCCAAGCATCAGCACTTGTCAGCCAGGACTGTAAAAATCTGTTTCCAGTTCTGCCGATGCCCTTGGATGGTGGAGTGTCCCGTCTTGGTCACCGGCCCCTGGACAGCATGCCACAGAGTAAGCCTTCGACTGACATTTGCCTGATGGGTCCAGCTGTTCCTGTGAAGAGGAATGCCTCTGAAATGGCCCTAGACCAGTGGTTCTCAACCTCGGCTACACACTGGCATAACCTAAAGGCCTAAAGAAATACTGACGCCCGAGTCCTCAGAGATCCTGGCTTAACTGGCCTGGGGTGTGGCCTGGGCATCTGACTTGCCCAAGTTCCTCTGTGTGATTCCACTGTGCAGCCAAAGTTGAGAGCCTGCCTCAGACTAGCCTAACGCCTCATGAACCATTAACCATGCCTGAATAAGCTAACACCTGCCCGGCGCTGAGAACACTGCCTGGCACACGGCACTACATACCAGGGTTTGTTAAGTAATGCTCACTGCTACTACTTGTCCTCAACTAGTGTTTTCCAAATTTCCACCAACTATAAATTATATTCAACATTCTTACCAAAGCCACATAAAATACTATTTTTGACTTAACACTTTCACATAAATTATCAGCTCTACTGTGACCTCCTCCCTCCTTAATCTAATATTCACCAGTCTCTCATGGGTCAAAGAGGGGAATCACTGGTGTTTTAGACATGACAATTCTCACACAGGATTTCAGGATGGTTAGAATTCCTGTCCCCCAGCCCTTGGATCACCAGTAAGTAGTGCCTCTCTACCAAGGGCAACGTGACGCTACCCCCAGGCCACTTTCAGACCGTTCACCGTGAAACAGGGTACCACCCACAGCTGAGATGCTTCCGAAACAGTAATATCTGTAAGACAATAGGTTTGATAAGTGTGTACTATTTTTCTGACATACATTAAAATAATTAGATATTAAAGTTAAATATTCATCCATACTCATCCACAGAAATCATCTCAGGTACCCCTCCAGTGGCAGCGTACTGAAGGCATAATACCACATCTGCGCTACAAAGAGGAATAAAACTCCCGAACAGAACTGTGACTTCTAGGAAGTTCACTCCTTTTACTATTCTCAGGGTATCACAAATCTCAAGCAAGTATCTCAGAGTCAAAATGATGTATTTCCCCGTGTACCAAATGATGTAGATAAAACTCCCAATCTAATTAAAACATAGTCCGCTCTGCTACAGTGCTTGTTTTGAAAACAGAAACTTATTCTGAAGCCACTGATATAGGAAGGAACAGGGTGGAGATGATGACATTTTGCATTCGCAAGACTTCATCTGTAAGAAGCACTAGGTGAACGAAGAAAACTGCACCCAACTGACCTGGGGCGCGTGGGAATACACAAAGCACCCCCCCCCAGCCTGCTCCCCCAAACACCCACCACCCAGCTCAGTTCACAGCATGCATGTTAGGAGCCACACCAGCCACATCTGGTGCGAGCACTTGTCCTCGATTTCAGATAACCCTCCTTCCACCACTTCACAATAAGTTGCAACCCTTCTGAGGTCTACTTCCAGAAGCAAACATCAGGTTGTTTTCAAAGGATATTGTCATATTAGAACTCATACTTGTTTTTAACCATTTAATCGACATAAAACTGTGCTACCATTTTTGCTAGGTTCCCACCTCTTTCTGCATGTGTCACTGATGAAGTTTTGCGTGCTGTGCCCATCATCCCATTTTTCCAATGAATCTCACGTGGTTCTTATTGCACAATTTTGCACAGTGCAGTAATTTTTTAGGAATGCATGTTGTGTTAGAGCAGAACTGGCTGCAACTTCAAGCTTGTCCTTTCAACTTTCTAGTCCCATCCTAGTCTCTTCTCCCGAGTTTCTTCATTTAATGCATTTTTTCCCCTTGCCTATTCACTTCTGATATGGGATTTCACACTAGAAAGTCAAGACTCGAAGCTTCCCAACACTAAAAGTTAGCTGATGTATCAATAACATTTCAAAGAAGTTGTATATTCTACTTCAACAATAAAAGCTATTTAAAAACCAAGAAAGGTAATCTATCGTGTGAATTTGTTCCATTCACTAAAACTTAAAGCAGACCGTGTGTGTATATAACTGAGATTCTGGCTGAAAAGTGCCAGCTCAAATCCTTATCGTGCTGCTGAATTAAGTCGTTCCTTCACATCATGGTCTGGTAACTTATTCTCTGGAAAGGGGGGCATCTGGCTTTCCCTTCATGAGAAAGCAAAGAGGAAAAACCAAATTTAATTATAGTTGAGTTGGACTCTCCCCAACCTTTCACACTGGGCTTTTATTTTTCTTAAGATTTTAAACTGGGCTTCCAACTTAAAAAAAAAGAAGTGTTTCTAGATCAAAAGAGACATGGGCAAGTCATGAGTAGGGTTAGGGACCTTATATTAAGTGGACAAAGTGGTGGCCAGATGCTAAGCATAACTGCAGTGTGGTCTGGTGAGGAGTCCAAGTTGAATTTTCAAAGCACTCCTCTCTCCGGGGTCTGGCATCAGCCCAGAGAAAGCACACTCCGTCCCTGGGTGAGGAGTGGTGCACTGTGACCGACTCCCGCAGGAGGGAGAGAGAGGCAGACCCACAGACGGACACATACAGATACAGCGAAAGACAGAGCAGGGACAGAAAGACAGACATGGCTGAGTGTGTGATGGTGCAGTGCAGGCTGCCCAGGCAGACAGGTAGGCGTGGAGACAGAGACGGATGGGAGCTGGGGGAGAGGAAGAGGTAGATGCACGGGGCTTTCTTCCCCGGCTGGCCTGAACACATGACACCACTGCAGGCAAGGGCAGCATACTGGGGCGGGTTGGGGACAGGACAGCTTTTCTGTAATTGTGGATTTATGCTGAGATTTTCAAAATATTTAAATATTGACACCTAGGTACAAATCAAAAAGGAATTCAAAGCAAATAATTATATCATTTAAAGTCATATATATTGCTTTGAAAATAACTAAAAATAATTCATGATGCTCAAGTGTCAAAGTCAGGAGACAGACTGAAAATCCAGGCAAAAGAAACTGTAACTTCAAACCACTCATGATCAGAAAAAATCTAGAAGGATACTTGTCCAACATTTTTTAAGTGTTATCCCTGGGACTACAGGTCTATTTTTAAAAATTTTTTGCATAAGGTTTAATCTTTCTATAAGAAATATGGTTTATGTGATTATCAAATACCTACTTTTAAAAAAGAGAGATCATTTGGTGTTCCGGCCTCACTTTCACACCCAGCAAGGCCCACCACCATCCAGGGGCACAGTGTCAGTGAGTCCCACTTCCCATGTGCATCGCGCAAGAGCAGGCCAGAGTGGCTCACAGCTCAGAGAAGCTCACAGAACTATCTTTACTTCGGCCCTTTCCTTGTATCTTACTAAACCTTTTATTCACCTTTTATAATCCGAACAAGGGCCTGATGGCAAGTCTCACCTTCGACAACAGCCGCAACAGCTAACTACTGCTTACTGGGCAGGCGCCACGCTACACAGTGTACAGGGATTCTCTCGTTCAGTGCTAACCATCATCCTACAGAGCAGACGCTGTCATGAGCCTCACTTTCCAGATGAGAAAGTCAAGATTTTAAAGGACTCAAGTCACCTGCTCAACGTCACCCA